AGAGAGAGAGAGAGAGAGTGTGTGTGTGTGTGTGTGCTTGTGTGTTTGTGCGTGTTTGTGTGTGTGATACCTAGACATCTATTCATGTATACATTCGTGTATAGCTTTGCTTTAATGATTGTAACATATTCAGTTAATAACCTGGATTTCGCAAGCTATCACACATTCCTGCAGTATGATTGATAAGCTTACCTCTTCGCCAAACTTCAAGGAATCATTCTGACGGTCTCTGAGATTATCCCAAAGGTGCAAGAACTGAACAATGCCATGATCACGCACATGGTCGGAATGTTTTTTGGCTTCCTCCCAGTCTAATGGGCGACCTGGGTTTGGGATAAATATTACACGCGATGTGAGTGCTGCGTAAAATACAGTCATATACAAGTACGAGCACATGACATACCAAAACAATTATGATAGCAACCTCCTTTATAGATGACATACGTCACGCTTACCTAATGTTAGCAACCCCATAGTTTGAAACCAGCTTCAGTACGACTAGTAATGTATCCACGTTCCTTTGTTTATATGAACTATTAAAAATCGGTCTCGTGCAATTCACATGAAATCCATCACTGGATTCATATTTTTACATAAACCTGAATACAAACAACAATGCATATTTAGTCATTTCGTTTGCTTTTTATGGGATGTACACACTACACACAGTCGATGAGCCGTTAAATTTATGCTGAACCAATGCGAAACCAGTAATACAGCACCTTGATTTTTCGAGAACACCATGAAGTCATACAAAAGGCCCCAGGGCCCAGGGCCCGGGCCCCCAGTCAGGCCTCAACAAATAACTTCAATACAGGTTGCGTTTAAACGTATATACACTGAAGAAAGATACGTTTATATTCGTCTATATCTTGGTGGCCCTTTGTTGGCGCTTTGGGTGCATTTTATGAGTTCTTAGGTTATAAACATTCTTGACATATACTCATAGTGTTCGTTTAATTCGCAAAATAGGTCGATATTTCTATACTTTTGATCCGTTTAAACGCTTAAAATCGAATCCATCTGCGCTAACGCTCAAGTTTTTTTGAATGAGGTTATAGAATATAGACCCACGCCGGGAAGGAACTGAAAATTTGAATCACGTAACGCAGTTCGGTTCGTAACCTCAAGTGTATAATTGGTTTCTATTGGTGCTTTATTGTATTTACAAATTGCGGAGCTTTTGGCGGTCCCGGAACTTGTTTTTGGAAACAAATTATCATTGCCTCCTTTCTGAACTATACAAAATTATCACATTCCGAAGCGGAACTGATATGAACTTTTTGAAGTTGCTTTTTCGAATAATGGATCTCAATTTCATTCAATTTTTGATGACTCGCCTTTACTCGCCTTTGAGTTGTACTGGGTTTGTGGTTGACCCTTGTGTGACCAGTTCCAACAAGAGAGAAGGCTCCAATAACAGTTTGTGGGTACAGGATTATAGGAGGATCTTGGGATTTTCTGCAACGGATACGGTCGAGACCTGCCTTTATCTGCTGCTATAGCTTGATTTTGAATCATATAGAGTGTGAAAACATTGAAACAGTGGAAATACATCAGTGCTAACGTCAAGTGACGGAGACATATTCGATGGCCGTGATCAGCTTTTGTATCTTTATTTTGCGTACTTAATAGATACTACCAAAGTTTTGGTCATACTTCGCCTTCATATAACTGCACCTGATTGTCGAGATCGGAGATACAGCTTTACCATAAACAACCAAAATTAACAAGCTATGATGTCATCCGATTCCTCGGATGACTTCTCTTCGGATGAGGACGTGCCTCTGGTTGATTATGCCGCGTGGGTGAAGGACAGGCGCTATCCCGACGACTGTGTGAGGGTGTTGTCTAGCGAGTTCCTCGACGTAAAATATCTGCACGAGAATGGATTCGACCAACCTGTGCTTGTTAAGAACACTGCCGGGCTAGGGCTACACGTATGTGGAAAAGACGGAACATTGTTTTGTATATGTTGCACAATAGTCCTGGAACTATGCCACAGGCGATACTACTAGCATATAATATGTTTGTATTAACGCGCGAGATAAGTGCATGTATATACCTGTAGGGTACATAGAGCATGTCTACTCTATATGAGAATGGATTTTGCATATATACGTTCTCATATATTATATAGCATCCATACGGATATACATAGGTATATATATATATATATGTGTGTGTGTGTGTGTGTGTGTGTTTGTATGTATGTATGTGTGTGTGTACACGTGTGCGTAAATATATAATTATATATATATATATATATATATGTCACTAAGTGCGTGTTTGTATGCAAGTTTATACATATATATATCTCTTGTATGCAAGTTTATATTAATATATATATATATATATATATCTATATATATATATATATACATATATATATATATATATATATCTATATATATATATATATACATATATATATATATATATATATATATATATATATACATAGGTGTGCGCATATATATATATATGTCTATATTATATATATATATATATACATATATATCTATATGTC